TAGGCGCAATTGCGCCTAGTTCTTTTCCTATTTTTTCTTAATAATTTTAATATTAATAACACAGCCATACAAAAAAAAGAAACCGAGTTGGGGAATTAGACCACCCATTCCCTATGTATTTTAATGCACTTCACTGTGAATTACTAAGGATGACAGTCAACGATTCTTGAAAAGTGTCTCATAATTAGGATTTTTACTTTAACCACAAAAAACCTCGAGAAAAATTAAGTTTACTTAACATTTGCCACCAAACCACAAAATAATCAAATAAAAAACTGTTTAAAATGCACAAAAGTTATTGTTTTTCCCAAAAAAATCTCGACGAAAATTGAAGTTAGTCAACATCTGCTGTCAAAGTACAATTTTCCCTTTTCTTACACTCTAGATATTTTCAAACATCATATAATATTAAAATGATTCGTGGAATTATGTGAACCAACATTCACTTTGCACTATACAAGTCCGTTTAACTTTTAGGGTGAGCTATAGACTCACATGCTATAGGTTTAGCATGTGAGTCTTAAATATATTTTTCATTGTTCATAATAATGTAACTCGTTATTTAGTAGAAGTAGTAACATTTGATGTTGTGGTTCACTAGTCTTTGATAATATGTCTCGTTTTTGACTCCAAGTTTTTATAGAAAATAGTGTGTTACGCGGACGCGTCCGGGAGAATCTTGAGTCGTATGATTTTTCATACTTCACATGTAAATACAAGTGTTTTTTAATGTGTAATTATATGTAACAATATTTGTCATTTCAACTGTTGACATATGTGAATTTGAAACAAGGATAACACGTGCATTTATTTTTAAAAAAATTTTCATATATTCGCATATATACATATATGACTGTTGCCACACATAAGAGAAAGCATCTCTCTATAAAGACAACAGTGTTCTTTTAATTTTTTTGAGTATATTATTTAATAGTAAGTCTGCCATTTTTCCCCAAAATTTTAATAGTATTGTAAACTAATTATTTCCATTTTGTTTTACAGTCAATAGGATAAACTTATAGCAGAATGGAAGAAATTGAGGAAGATAATTCCACAGATTCAAATAGCGAGAGGGATTCTTTAGAAGATAATTCTATCGAGGACTATGACGAAGAAGAAGTTCTTGGAGATGATGAAGATGTTTCTGAGGAAGAGGAAGATGACAATCTGGACGTTGATCAAAATGTACAAGTTGCAGGAGGACAAGGTCAAGCGATTAATGTAAATGATAATATGAACATGCAAGATCCAAGACAGAATGCAGAAATTGGTGCTGTGAATAATCGACCTAGAGAAGGCGCAACGGAGACATTATTTGGGGGTATAAAAACTATTGGTATGCGCGTTGAATTACAAAGTAAACCAGATTTAACAGCAGTTGATCATCTTATTGTAAGCGCAGCACATGCAATACGACATAATTCCACTTACGAGAGCCTATTAGATAATTTAAAATGGCTGAAAAAATCATTTCAGTTTATTAATTTACCAACAACAAAAAAAGCCTTATGGGACGTACTTGGTCGAACAGAAAGAAATTTAATATATAGATTATTTTGCTCTAAATGTAAAGACGAAATTGGCGAAGGAAATGTGATACGAAGAATATGTACTTGTGGTAGTTGCGGTCCTGGTCGAGACAAGTCTTTTTTGGCTATTTATATACAAATACCCTTGCGTCCTCAGTTAATAGACTTTTTACGAATTCCAAATATAGCAGAAGCGCTGGCCTATAGGGAAAATAGGTTTCGACTAAATGAGAACGCTATGGAGGATGTTTATGATGGACTCAAGTATCAGGAACTTCGAAGAAATAGAGGATTTTTATCTAACCGTTATAACTATTCGCTAACATTATGGACCGACGAGTTAAAACTTACTCGTTCATCTCGCGCTACGACATATCCAATCCTTTTCCAGATAAATGAACTTTCACCTCACGCACGGAAAAAACACTTACTTTTAGGTGGTCTTTGGGTTGCAAACGAACATCCTAATATGAATACAATATTGCAACCTATAGTAAACAAATTAAGGGATTTATATCACCATGGAATCCCCTGGAGACCGAATGAAGGAGAGGACTTTGTAACTAGTAGATTTATTGTTACAATATTCACAGCGGACTCATTAGCGAAGCCTGATGTGTTAAGAATGAAACGTTTTAATGGAGAGAACGGTTGTCCACATTGTTTTGCTCCTGGTCAAAGGGAAAATACTATATGGTTATATCCTGCTGTGGAATATGAATGTCGTACAGATATCTCAATAAGACGAGACGGGCTTAGGGCACATAATGAAGAAATAATTGTAAGAGGTGTCAAGGGCGTTTCATCTTTAGCAAACTTACCACTATTTAACCTTGGGTATGGTGTTGTTGTAGATCCTGCTCACAACCCATTTTTAGGAGTAGCTAAAAGATTAGTGGAACGATACTTGAGTGATGCAGATAACGAATGGTACATCGGGCAGCCAGTTCAAGTTGCAGCTATAGATTCAAAATTATTAACCATAAAACCACCAACCAGGATATCCCGACAACCCCGTAGCATTCAGCTTTACAGAATGTGGAAACTATCAGAATGGCGAAATTGGCTTCTGTATTACGCGCTTCCGTGCCTTGATGGGATTTTACCCCCATTATATTTCAACCATTTAGCACTTTTATGTGAATCGATTTATATTCTCAATAGTTGCTCTATAACAGAAGCTGAATTCGGTATAGCAGAAGTTTGTATTAGACAATTTGTACAAGGGTATCAAAGACTGTATGGATTAGGAAACATGCTGTTTAATGTGTATCTTTTGTATCATCTTGTCCAGTCAGTGCGTAATTAGGGCCCTTTATGGGTTTTTTCAGCTCTACCATTTGAATCTTTCAATAAAAAAATTTTGAATTTTGTAACAAGTCCACACGCTAGAGCAAATAAAATAGTTACCAGATTTTTTTTAAAAAAATTTATCGTTGTCGCAGCATCACTAATACCTCTTGCAGAAACAACACGACAAGAAACGAATCGTCTTTTAAACATTAGCACGGCACACATAGAAGGCATGCCAGAAAAACATTACTTTCATGGTATTGGAAGAGAAGAAATTCGCGTTCCTCAACAAAACGAAGCAAATCTCATTAGAGCAGCAGGCAACGTAATAAACAATGACAGATATATTAGACTGTATAAAAGGGCTATAATTAATGGAACAGAGTACCGTATTCGGGACAATAGAAGAAGAAAATTCTGCAATTCTATTGTATTTTGTCAGGGATCCAGATTTTTTTTTATCGAAAGGCTAATACGTTACATTTTACGAAATGGTCGGTTAACAGCAGGTTTTATTGGAAGGTACTTACATAGCAATGGAAATGTGTACAGAGTACCTCATATGCAACGCGTTACTGATGTAGAAGTAATGCAGTTTATCTCTTACAGTGAAGTCATATCTCCAGGATTCATGATTCCTAGTATAGAAGAAAATGCAATCGTTCCTCTTTGTAACGTATGGGAATCAGATTAAAACTCAACTTAGGTAAATATTTCAAATGCATAATATTTTTACTGAAAATATTTTAAATATTTCATTATTTTAATCCTAATTCTAGTTTTCTTCTTTAAAAAATTTTTTAATTACTGATGCTAATTAAAAAGTGGACAAACTCTTTGATTCTAGTTAAATGTCAGTTAACACACCCTAATGCATATATGCTGTCCTTCCGGTTTTCCGACAGATTGAATAGTCGTTACATTTCTATAAAAATATTTTTGGTTCATGACGAGTAAGTTCGTTCATACGTCACTGTTTGGGTTTCGAAGTAGATTTCAGGTACCTGGCGACTTGAGAGGCCTGGTTGCCTGGGATTGGTCGGCTCTGGAAGGGCCGAGTAGGTCGACTTTCCCTCTCTTCTAATTGTTCTCTAGAATTCAAGGGAAACTGACCAGCGTGCTGGCAGTATTGTCTCGCGTTCTCGCTTTAGACGGTCGCTCAAGCGGATTTTGTTAAAAACCAGTTGAACCCTATTGTTCTTTTTCGTTAAAGTGTTGTTCTCGATTAATTTTTCTACTTTTGTATCGTTTGCGTTTCTTTCTTGTACACGGGGCTGTCCCCCCTCTCAGACAACCCCCCGGGTTGTCCCGAAGAAACGGAACAGTGCGGAAGTGTAAGGACGCGAACGTTTAAAAACAGTGTTTGCCTTAGTTTAATTTCACTTTTTCTTTCTTTTATTATTTTTATTTTGTTTGTTCATACCTAGTTTCTAAACTATAGATTAAACTCTGACAATTTTTGGTGCATCGGCCGGGAAAGTTTTTTTTCTTTTAAGAAGAAAGTAACTCCGACGAACCCGCGGTAAATTCCAGTTTATAGCACTACCTGTCCTTCCGCGAAGGGTCGTGTTTACGAATTCTGCCTTCTATTTCCCTTCCCCGAGGGGAAAAGTGTTTGTGCGAATCGACTGATTACCTTTTCTCCCAAAGTCATAAAGACAATAACGCGAGTGAACCAGTGTTTCCCCTCCCCCCCCCCTTTTTTTGACTTCTGCAGTGCCGCACAACTCTACAACGATGGCTCCAACCTTGAGAAAACTATTGTCGCAACAGGCCACTCGCCTCGACACCATAAAAAGAACTATCACGCGTAGAAAACAGGCCTCGAGGGAAGGAACCCTACCTATTCCTCTCCTTAGGTCTAGGCTGAACCAGTTAGAAACATATTGGAAAGAGACCCGTGAAGCTCACCTAGAGATCATGAGTACTGCGGAGTCTGAAAACGAGCCCTACGTTACTGAACAACAATTTGAAAACATGGAGGTCGAATATGAAGCCGAAAACGATGAATTAGCTTCACTATTATACGACTCAACAAGACCCACTCAACAAAACGAGCCCCCCAACTTACACACAGGCGTACCAATTTCAAGCAAATTGCGCCTACCGAAGTCTACATTACCGCAATTTTCGGGGAGATAGGAAGATTGGGGAAACTTCTCAGACTTGTTCCTCTCCATGATAGATGAGGACAAAACGCTACCTGGCGTCGTAAAATTGCAATACTTGAAGCAATGTTTAATCGATGAAGCTGCTGATTTTGTGAAGGACGTTAAAGTGGAAGAGTCAAATTACAAGCCCACTTGGGAAGCATTAAAAGGCAGATACTGCAACGTACGCCTACTCATACATACTCACTTTAACACACTTTACAATCTACCCAAACTACAGGATGAATCTGTGTCAGACCTTAAAACACTCATCGACAAAACTCGACAAGCTGTCCGCTCTTTGAGGAACATCGGAAGAGATATCGTTGGTGATTGGCTGGTTTACCACACTAGTGAACGGCTGGATCCAGCGTCGCGCCTCCAATGGGAAAACTATCTCAGCACTCGGAGTTCGAAACTCCCCAATTCGGAAGGCAATGACTCGGAACCCGATCATTATCCCACATTCGAAGCTTTAGCAAAATTCATTGACGAGCGAATCATCACCCTAAACATGACAGACTCGCATCGCTCAATGACGACCCCCAACTCGCCCGCATCAAGCTTAAAAAATTAAGGACAGAAAAACGTCAAGAGGACATTTCACAACGCTGCAAAGAGCGGACGTCCAAACCGGAAATGTCCAAAGTGTTCCGACGAACACTACATAAGTCGCTGTCCGACCTTTAAGCAACTTAGCACATTGGAACGCCGTAACGAAGCACGACGAATAAAACTTTGTTTTAATTGTCTAGGCCTTCATCAAATCAAGGACTGCACTTCCAAGGGACGCTGCTTCGAATGTCATAAGCAACATCACACCCTTCTGCACAGGCCACCTAGAGAAGAAACCTCCGAGAACGAAAAGAATGCAAAACACCCCCACCAGACACAAAGTCCATCGGCTACTACAGCACCCACGGTTCATACGAATACAACGTCCATCAGCAGTTCCAACCGGACAATTCTTCTGGCAACAGCCTGCGCTATTCTTGAAGGACCAAAGGGCCAAACCACGGCCCGTGCCATGCTGGATCAAGGATCTGAGGTATCCTTCATTTCTCAGGATATCGTCAGGAAATTGAGACTACCATGCTACCCCGCAAACGTTACTATCCTAGGATTGGAAAACCATAAAGTGGGGGAGGCAAAGACAGTTGCCACAATGACCCTAAGGTCCGTGCACGCGCCCGACTTCCATCTCGAATTCCAAGCTTATGTGGTCCCAAAACTCACATCAAGGCTTCCAACGCGAAAAATAGTTGAGATCAATCTGGATTGGCTCGGAGCAGAAAAGTTGGCTGATCCTCTTTATTACCAACCTGGAACAATCCAACTTATAATTGGCGCTGATTACTATAGACAGCTACTACTACCAGGGCTGTACCAGATTGAAAGTCCAAAAGCAACAGCCCAAAAAACAGCACTGGGCTGGGTTATTTCGGGAACTGTTGAAACCGAGTTTGCACGGCGGGCGGAACCAACTACTTCAAGAACAGTTTCGTCAATGCATTGCGCATCGTCAGAAAATATTCAAGACGAACTGCAACGCTTTTGGGAATTTGAAGCCATCCCAAACAATAAGGTGATCAAGCCAGATGACGAAAGTTGCGAAAACCACTTCGCTAATACACACACACGAACCCCTGAAGGCCAGTACATGGTCCGTCTCCCCATCAAGTGTCAACCTCCAGAGGCTGCAGCTGAAACCAGAAGACTAGCTGCAAGCAGCCTAATTGGAACAGAGCGTCGATTTAAGCAAGATATCAAGTTATCCGAAGCCTACTGCGAGTTCATGGATAAATACGAATCAGACGGTCACATGAAGAGAGTGCCAGAGGAGGAATTGAACAACCCAAAGGCTTGGTACATACCACACCACGCAGTAGTCCAACAAACAAATAACTTGGATTGGAAATTACGAGTGGTGTTTAACGCATCAAGGTTAACCTCTCAGAAAAAATGCCTTAATGACTTCCTGCATGCTGGACCTGCTCTACAGAACGACATTGGCCTCATACTATTAAACTGGCGCAGACACAAAGTCGTTTTCACCGCGGACATAGTAAAAATGTTCCGCCAGATCCTCGTTCATCCGGAAGACCGCGATCTACAACGAATTCTTTGGCGATCAACTCCGGAGAAACCCATCGAAGAATATCGGCTCTGCACCGTCACATATGGCACGGCGTGCGCGCCATATCTCGCCATCCGCACCTTGCAACAACTTTCGATCGATGAAGGAGCTCAATTTCCACTTGGAGCGGACAGTTTGCTAGATAACACCTATGTCGACGATATCTTCGACGGCGATGATGACGTCCTACACGCTGAGAAGAAACGAGATCAAGTGATAGATCTCTGTGCGAAGGGGAACCTTAAGTTAGATAAATGGGCAGTAAACCACCCCGACCTACATCCTTCATCTTGCGCACCACCATCCTCGGAGATCATCGACAAAATCACAGTTTTTAAGACTCTGGGGATACTTTGGGATTCAAGAGTCGACTACTTTGCTTTCAACAATCCCCAAAAAACACACATCTCGGAGGATGCAACAAAAAGAATTATTTCCTCTACCATTGCCAAGCTGTACGACCCTTTGGGCTGGCTCGCACCTATCACAGTGGTCGCCAAGATCATGCTCCAAGATATCTGGATACTCAGAATTGACTGGGATGTTGAACTCCCTACTGAAGTGCAAGAGCACTGGACGCAGTACTATCAATCCCTAGCTGGATTATCAGGTATCCAGATACCACGCTGGCTGGGAAGCTTTTCGAATTCGCTGATCGAACTCCATGGCTTCTCAGATGCTTCCACTCCAGCCTACGCCGCAGCGGTCTACGTGCGAGTTCTTAAATACAAAGAGGACGCTCAAGTTACACTTCTTGCAGCGAAGTCCAAAGTCGCTCCTATTAAGACTGCAACAATACCGAAGCTAGAACTCTGTGGAGCTGCTCTCCTAGTAAAGCTCTTAAAATACGTCTTAAAGACGGCTGACCTTTCTAAATACTGTACCTGTGACGGCTTGGAGTGACAGTCAAGTCACTCTAGCCTGGATCAATCAGCATCCATCCAAATGGAAAACCTTCATTGCGAACCGCGTCTCCTACATTCAGACTGAACTGCCTTCGGTGAAATGGAGACACGTGCCTAGCCAAGAAAATCCGGCTGACCTAGCGACACGAGGTCTTCAACCAGAGACCCTGCAAGAAAATAATCTTTGGTGGCATGGTCCACAATGGCTGTCCCTATCACCGGTTAATTGGCCTTCTCAATCCCAAGGTCACGATACCAATAGCGAGGAAGTGCAAGCGTTCCTTACTGTCGAAGCTGAAGTCAACAATGAGATTCTTTCGAGATTCTCCTCTCTGCAACGACTTATTAGAGTTGTAGCATTCTGCCTGAGAGTGTTCCAGAACTTTAGAGCAAAAGGCTCTGGAAACTCTTTCAAGGATACGGCCCTTTCCTTGACCGAGATAGAATCTGCCAGATCGACGGTCTTAGCGATAGCGCAGAGGAAGACATTCTCTGAGGAGATAGATTCTCTGAAAAACGGGAGAAACATTCCCAAACATAGTAAACTCCGCAATCTCAACCCCTTTTTGGACAAAGCAGGAATCCTCCGAGTTGGTGGACGTTTGAAACACTCTTCTCTAGTCTTCTCCTCGAAGCATCCACCGATTCTCCCAAAAGATTCACCACTGACCCCCTTGTACGTGAACTTAGCGCACAAGGTCTCGTGTCATGGAGGGCCAAAGCTAACCCTCAGCATCCTTCGAAACTTAGTGTGGATTGTTGGTGCAGCTTCACTAGTGAGAAAACTGGTACGCACGTGCGTGCCCTGCCACCGAATTAAACCTCGCTTCCCGACGCAGCTCATGGGTGATCTGCCACCTGCAAGGATCGAACCGGCTCGTCCATTTACAAACTGCGGCCTTGACTATGCCGGACCCTTTCAACTGCGGGCCACCAAAGGCCGTGGATTCAAATCCTACAAAGGATACATTGTAGTCTTCGTTTGCTTCGCTACGAAGGCGATCCACTTGGAAGCGGTGAGTGATATGACGACTTCAACCTTTCTAGCAGATTATCGCAGGTTTACAGGAAGAAGAGGTCTTTGTCGACGACTGTACAGCGACAACGGAACAACATTTCAAAGGGGCTGACAGAGAACTAAGATCCATGTTTAAAAGGGGATCCACATTCTACATGGAAGCCGCAGCAGCCTTCGCGAACGACGGAGCGACATGGAGCTTCATCCCCCCAAACTCACCTCACTTCGGTGGACTCTGGGAGGCCGGAGTGAAATCTGCAAAGCACCATTTGGCTCGACTGATGATCTCCCGGACATTTACGTTTGAAGAGTTTAGCACCCTTCTCACCGAAATAGAAGCCTGCCTGAACTCAAGGCCTTTATGTGCCATGTCAACTGATCCCGAGGATCTTAACGCTCTAACCCCTGCACACTTTCTGATCGGAAGTACATTGGCAATGATCCCTGACGAAGAACCACCGAAAGTACCTGACAACCGATTAAGCCGCTACGAACTTATTCAAAAAATAAGGAACAACTTTTGGAGAAAATGGTCCCAGGAGTACTTACAGTCACTGCAAGTTAGAGGCAAATGGCAGCAATCTTCAGACAATCTAAGTGTAGATCAGTTAGTACTCATCCAGGACAATCGATGTCCTCCCGCGAAGTGGCCTTTGGGAAGAGTGGTTGCGGTTCATCCGGGAGCTGACGGGAAGGTCCGAGTGGCTACAGTGAAAACAATTCACGGAACATATCGTCGACCTATCGTGCGACTTAGCCCAATACCGCCACCTTTTTAGACAGGAAAAAGTGTCATTTGTCCTGCGGACAAGGCGGGCGGGAATGTTTGGGTTTCGAAGTAGATTTCAGGTACCTGGCGACTTGAGAGGCCTGGTTGCCTGGGATTGGTCGGCTCTGGAAGGGCCGAGTAGGTCGACTTTCCCTCTCTTCTAATTGTTCTCTAGAATTCAAGGGAAACTGACCAGCGTGCTGGCAGTATTGTCTCGCGTTCTCGCTTTAGACGGTCGCTCAAGCGGATTTTGTTAAAAACCAGTTGAACCCTATTGTTCTTTTTCGTTAAAGTGTTGTTCTCGATTAATTTTTCTACTTTTGTATCGTTTGCGTTTCTTTCTTGTACACGGGGCTGTCCCCCCTCTCAGACAACCCCCCGGGTTGTCCCGAAGAAACGGAACAGTGCGGAAGTGTAAGGACGCGAACGTTTAAAAACAGTGTTTGCCTTAGTTTAATTTCACTTTTTCTTTCTTTTATTATTTTTATTTTGTTTGTTCATACCTAGTTTCTAAACTATAGATTAAACTCTGACAATTTTTGGTGCATCGGCCGGGAAAGTTTTTTTTCTTTTAAGAAGAAAGTAACTCCGACGAACCCGCGGTAAATTCCAGTTTATAGCACTACCTGTCCTTCCGCGAAGGGTCGTGTTTACGAATTCTGCCTTCTATTTCCCTTCCCCGAGGGGAAAAGTGTTTGTGCGAATCGACTGATTACCTTTTCTCCCAAAGTCATAAAGACAATAACGCGAGTGAACCAGTGTTTCCCCTCCCCCCCCCCTTTTTTGACTTCTGCAGTGCCGCACAACTCTACAACGATGGCTCCAACCTTGAGAAAACTATTGTCGCAACAGGCCACTCGCCTCGACACCATAAAAAGAACTATCACGCGTAGAAAACAGGCCTCGAGGGAAGGAACCCTACCTATTCCTCTCCTTAGGTCTAGGCTGAACCAGTTAGAAACATATTGGAAAGAGACCCGTGAAGCTCACCTAGAGATCATGAGTACTGCGGAGTCTGAAAACGAGCCCTACGTTACTGAACAACAATTTGAAAACATGGAGGTCGAATATGAAGCCGAAAACGATGAATTAGCTTCACTATTATACGACTCAACAAGACCCACTCAACAAAACGAGCCCCCCAACTTACACACAGGCGTACCAATTTCAAGCAAATTGCGCCTACCGAAGTCTACATTACCGCAATTTTCGGGGAGATAGGAAGATTGGGGAAACTTCTCAGACTTGTTCCTCTCCATGATAGATGAGGACAAAACGCTACCTGGCGTCGTAAAATTGCAATACTTGAAGCAATGTTTAATCGATGAAGCTGCTGATTTTGTGAAGGACGTTAAAGTGGAAGAGTCAAATTACAAGCCCACTTGGGAAGCATTAAAAGGCAGATACTGCAACGTACGCCTACTCATACATACTCACTTTAACACACTTTACAATCTACCCAAACTACAGGATGAATCTGTGTCAGACCTTAAAACACTCATCGACAAAACTCGACAAGCTGTCCGCTCTTTGAGGAACATCGGAAGAGATATCGTTGGTGATTGGCTGGTTTACCACACTAGTGAACGGCTGGATCCAGCGTCGCGCCTCCAATGGGAAAACTATCTCAGCACTCGGAGTTCGAAACTCCCCAATTCGGAAGGCAATGACTCGGAACCCGATCATTATCCCACATTCGAAGCTTTAGCAAAATTCATTGACGAGCGAATCATCACCCTAAACATGACAGACTCGCATCGCTCAATGACGACCCCCAACTCGCCCGCATCAAGCTTAAAAAATTAAGGACAGAAAAACGTCAAGAGGACATTTCACAACGCTGCAAAGAGCGGACGTCCAAACCGGAAATGTCCAAAGTGTTCCGACGAACACTACATAAGTCGCTGTCCGACCTTTAAGCAACTTAGCACATTAGAACGCCGTAACGAAGCACGACGAATAAAACTTTGTTTTAATTGTCTAGGCCTTCATCAAATCAAGGACTGCACTTCCAAGGGACGCTGCTTCGAATGTCATAAGCAACATCACACCCTTCTGCACAGGCCACCTAGAGAAGAAACCTCCGAGAACGAAAAGAATGCAAAACACCCCCACCAGACACAAAGTCCATCGGCTACTACAGCACCCACGGTTCATACGAATACAACGTCCATCAGCAGTTCCAACCGGACAATTCTTCTGGCAACAGCCTGCGCTATTCTTGAAGGACCAAAGGGCCAAACCACGGCCCGTGCCATGCTGGATCAAGGATCTGAGGTATCCTTCATTTCTCAGGATATCGTCAGGAAATTGAGACTACCATGCTACCCCGCAAACGTTACTATCCTAGGATTGGAAAACCATAAAGTGGGGGAGGCAAAGACAGTTGCCACAATGACCCTAAGGTCCGTGCACGCGCCCGACTTCCATCTCGAATTCCAAGCTTATGTGGTCCCAAAACTCACATCAAGGCTTCCAACGCGAAAAATAGTTGAGATCAATCTGGATTGGCTCGGAGCAGAAAAGTTGGCTGATCCTCTTTATTACCAACCTGGAACAATCCAACTTATAATTGGCGCTGATTACTATAGACAGCTACTACTACCAGGGCTGTACCAGATTGAAAGTCCAAAAGCAACAGCCCAAAAAACAGCACTGGGCTGGGTTATTTCGGGAACTGTTGAAACCGAGTTTGCACGGCGGGCGGAACCAACTACTTCAAGAACAGTTTCGTCAATGCATTGCGCATCGTCAGAAAATATTCAAGACGAACTGCAACGCTTTTGGGAATTTGAAGCCATCCCAAACAATAAGGTGATCAAGCCAGATGACGAAAGTTGCGAAAACCACTTCGCTAATACACACACACGAACCCCTGAAGGCCAGTACATGGTCCGTCTCCCCATCAAGTGTCAACCTCCAGAGGCTGCAGCTGAAACCAGAAGACTAGCTGCAAGCAGCCTAATTGGAACAGAGCGTCGATTTAAGCAAGATATCAAGTTATCCGAAGCCTACTGCGAGTTCATGGATAAATACGAATCAGACGGTCACATGAAGAGAGTGCCAGAGGAGGAATTGAACAACCCAAAGGCTTGGTACATACCACACCACGCAGTAGTCCAACAAACAAATAACTTGGATTGGAAATTACGAGTGGTGTTTAACGCATCAAGGTTAACCTCTCAGAAAAAATGCCTTAATGACTTCCTGCATGCTGGACCTGCTCTACAGAACGACATTGGCCTCATACTATTAAACTGGCGCAGACACAAAGTCGTTTTCACCGCGGACATAGTAAAAATGTTCCGCCAGATCCTCGTTCATCCGGAAGACCGCGATCTACAACGAATTCTTTGGCGATCAACTCCGGAGAAACCCATCGAAGAATATCGGCTCTGCACCGTCACATATGGCACGGCGTGCGCGCCATATCTCGCCATCCGCACCTTGCAACAACTTTCGATCGATGAAGGAGCTCAATTTCCACTTGGAGCGGACAGTTTGCTAGATAACACCTATGTCGACGATATCTTCGACGGCGATGATGACGTCCTACACGCTGAGAAGAAACGAGATCAAGTGATAGATCTCTGTGCGAAGGGGAACCTTAAGTTAGATAAATGGGCAGTAAACCACCCCGACCTACATCCTTCATCTTGCGCACCACCATCCTCGGAGATCATCGACAAAATCACAGTTTTTAAGACTCTGGGGATACTTTGGGATTCAAGAGTCGACTACTTTGCTTTCAACAATCCCCAAAAAACACACATCTCGGAGGATGCAACAAAAAGAATTATTTCCTCTACCATTGCCAAGCTGTACGACCCTTTGGGCTGGCTCGCACCTATCACAGTGGTCGCCAAGATCATGCTCCAAGATATCTGGATACTCAGAATTGACTGGGATGTTGAACTCCCTACTGAAGTGCAAGAGCACTGGACGCAGTACTATCAATCCCTAGCTGGATTATCAGGTATCCAGATACCACGCTGGCTGGGAAGCTTTTCGAATTCGCTGATCGAACTCCATGGCTTCTCAGATGCTTCCACTCCAGCCTACGCCGCAGCGGTCTACGTGCGAGTTCTTAAATACAAAGAGGACGCTCAAGTTACACTTCTTGCAGCGAAGTCCAAAGTCGCTCCTATTAAGACTGCAACAATACCGAAGCTAGAACTCTGTGGAGCTGCTCTCCTAGTAAAGCTCTTAAAATACGTCTTAAAGACGGCTGACCTTTCTAAATACTGTACCTGTGACGGCTTGGAGTGACAGTCAAGTCACTCTAGCCTGGATCAATCAGCATCCATCCAAATGGAAAACCTTCATTGCGAACCGCGTCTCCTACATTCAGACTGAACTGCCTTCGGTGAAATGGAGACACGTGCCTAGCCAAGAAAATCCGGCTGACCTAGCGACACGAGGTCTTCAACCAGAGACCCTGCAAGAAAATAATCTTTGGTGGCATGGTCCACAATGGCTGTCCCTATCACCGGTTAATTGGCCTTCTCAATCCCAAGGTCACGATACCAATAGCGAGGAAGTGCAAGCGTTCCTTACTGTCGAAGCTGAAGTCAACAATGAGATTCTTTCGAGATTCTCCTCTCTGCAACGACTTATTAGAGTTGTAGCATTCTGCCTGAGAGTGTTCCAGAACTTTAGAGCAAAAGGCTCTGGAAACTCTTTCAAGGATACGGCCCTTTCCTTGACCGAGATAGAATCTGCCAGATCGACGGTCTTAGCGATAGCGCAGAGGAAGACATTCTCTGAGGAGATAGATTCTCTGAAAAACGGGAGAAACATTCCCAAACATAGTAAACTCCGCAATCTCAACCCCTTTTTGGACAAAGCAGGAATCCTCCGAGTTGGTGGACGTTTGAAACACTCTTCTCTAGTCTTCTCCTCGAAGCATCCACCGATTCTCCCAAAAGATTCACCACTGACCCCCTTGTACGTGAACTTAGCGCACAAGGTCTCGTGTCATGGAGGGCCAAAGCTAACCCTCAGCATCCTTCGAAACTTAGTGTGGATTGTTGGTGCAGCTTCACTAGTGAGAAAACTGGTACGCACGTGCGTGCCCTGCCACCGAATTAAACCTCGCTTCCCGACGCAGCTCATGGGTGATCTGCCACCTGCAAGGATCGAACCGGCTCGTCCATTTACAAACTGCGGCCTTGACTATGCCGGACCCTTTCAACTGCGGGCCACCAAAGGCCGTGGATTCAAATCCTACAAAGGATACATTGTAGTCTTCGTTTGCTTCGCTACGAAGGCGATCCACTTGGAAGCGGTGAGTGATATGACGACTTCAACCTTTCTAGCAGCTTATCGCAGGTTTACAGGAAGAAGAGGTCTTTGTCGACGACTGTACAGCGACAACGGAACAACATTTCAAAGGGGCTGACAGAGAACTAAGATCCATGTTTAAAAGGGGATCCACATTCTACATGGAAGCCGCAGCAGCCTTCGCGAACGACGGAGCGACATGGAGCTTCATCCCCCCAAACTCACCTCACTTCGGTGGACTCTGGGAGGCCGGAGTGAAATCTGCAAAGCACCATTTGGCTCGACTGATGATCTCCCGGACATTTACGTTTGAAGAGTTTAGCACCCTTCTCACCGAAATAGAAGCCTGCCTGAACTCAAGGCCTTTATGTGCCATGTCAACTGATCCCGAGGATCTTAACGCTCTAACCCCTGCACACTTTCTGATCGGAAGTACATTGGCAATGATCCCTGACGAAGAACCACCGAAAGTACCTGACAACCGATTAAGCCGCTACGAACTTATTCAAAAAATAAGGAACAACTTTTGGAGAAAATGGTCCCAGGAGTACTTACAGTCACTGCAAGTTAGAGGCAAATGGCAGCAATCTTCAGACAATCTAAGTGTAGATCAGTTAGTACTCATCCAGGACAATCGATGTCCTCCCGCGAAGTGGCCTTTGGGAAGAGTGGTTGCGGTTCATCCGGGAGCTGACGGGAAGGTCCGAGTGGCTACAGTGAAAACAATTCACGGAACATATCGTCGACCTATCGTGCGACTTAGCCCAATACCGCCACCTTTTTAGACAGGAAAAAGTGTCATTTGTCCTGCGGACAAGGCGGGCGGGAATGTTTGGGTTTCGAAGTAGATTTCAGGTACCTGGCGACTTGAGAGGCCTGGTTGCCTGGGATTGGTCGGCTCTGGAAGGGCCGAGTAGGTCGACTTTCCCTCTCTTCTAATTGTTCTCTAGAATTCAAGGGAAACTGACCAGCGTGCTGGCAGTATTGTCTCGCGTTCTCGCTTTAGACGGTCGCTCAAGCGGATTTTGTTAAAAACCAGTTGAACCCTATTGTTCTTTTTCGTTAAAGTGTTGTTCTCGATTAATTTTTCTACTTTTGTATCGTTTGCGTTTCTTTCTTGTACACGGGGCTGTCCCCCCTCTCAGACAACCCCCCGGGTTGTCCCGAAGAAACGGAACAGTGCGGAAGTGTAAGGACGCGAACGTTTAAAAACAGTGTTTGCCTTAGTTTAATTTCACTTTTTCTTTCTTTTATTATTTTTATTTTGTTTGTTCATACCTAGTTTCTAAACTATAGATTAAACTCTGACAGTCACGAACTAACAATATTTTTATAGAAATGTTATAACTTTTTAAAACGTCGGCATAGGCATGTGCGGTTAACCGGTTATTAATCCGGTTATTTTCATAACCGGTTATTTGGTTATTCAATTATTATTGAAATATTATTACATTAATTATTATTCAAAATAATTTAAGATTCCTATTTTAATTAAAACATGTACTAGACTTCTTGTATTCTTCGATTAACACATTAATAAACTTTAAAATATTTTTTAATTCGTACCCTAATTTTTATTGAACAAAAATTTGTTTTAAAATTATAATTTAAACTTAGTTTCTTGACAAATATTTTATACAAAAAATTACTTTAAAAAATGTTGCATTGTAAGTTAATCTTTAAAATTTAATTTTTCAAAAAAATAGTTTTATGAAAGACATTCATCATAAATTAATAAATTAAAAAAATCAATCAGAATCAGAACAGCAAGTCTTTTTTTAGTATAATATTTTTTTCTCGTGAACAGTAGAAGCTCGATTATCCGGACTAATGGATGCAGGCATGTGCCCGGATTATCGAATAACGTATACGACACATCGATTTATGGTATTAAATGATTATAAAGTTTGAAAAAAAAAATTTTCTAATTAAAATAACCAAAAAAGGAACAAAAAATTTGTCCGGATAATCGAGGCTCTACTGTATAGTAAATAAAATTCGTAAATAAACGAAAAAAGAGTGTTCTGTTATAATTCAGTAACCGCTTATTTTGCTCTAACCGGTTATAGCCGAGAAACCGGTTATTCGGTTATAATCAAGAAACCGAGTAATCAATTATAACTGGTTTCCCGGTTATAACCGAATAACCAGTTATTTTGCTTAAACGGTTAACCGGATGAATAACCGGTTATTTTAATAACCGGAAACCGGTTATATATTTCTGCAACCGGACAGGCCTACGTCGGCAAACCAGAAGAATAACAAATTTGCATTAGGGTGTATCTCTATGCCATTCACTGAAACCTAACTGATGAAACGGGTGCGCTTTATTCAATTGTTGCATATACTTAGAAGTTAAAAATTTGTAATAATAAAATGTAATGAATAGTGAAATTTTTATGTAAAATGAGATTATTTTAACTACTTTTAAATAAAAGCTGAGAGGTGAGAAAATATTAATATTAATTAATTATTATTTAAAATTATTTTACAGGTGACCCGATGCAGTACGAAGGAATATATCACAGCAGATAAATAAATTGTAATGTATTTAAAAACTGTCGAAACATGTAGTCTAACAATAAAAGGTTTTCTTTTCAATATAACACCGATTATCTGTTTTAAGGCATTGTAAAAAATTTTTATACAAAATTATTTGTTATTCTTATTTTTTGAATAAAAATATTTTTGAAAAATCTGATAACTTGTAATAATGATATTTAATATCCGAATAATCCATTTTAGACGAATATATTAAAAAAATTTCTTTATTTATATTGAAATTTTAATTTTTAAGTTGAATTGCAAGGGAAAAGGTTAGTTTGATAGCTGTGAAATTTTATAGGATGGAGAAGAAGGTGTAACTTAAATACTATAACGAGAATTAGATTTTTTCATTTATCGACTGAGAAGATAAAATTGTTTATATTAATGCACTATTAAATTAAAAAGTCTGCGTGGCACATAAAAGTACATTGAACGTATTTAATAATAAGTAGAAAAAAGTTTTAAAATATTCACAAACTTTTGAGAATAATCTAATTAAAATGTGATAAATTTCGTCATTTCACAGGTAAGTTTCAAATTTAATTTTTGCTCAATATTTTTCATTTTTTTACAAAATAAAAACTTGATATCAGTAAATTATACTATTCTGAACAAATATCATTAAAAAAATTGTAACTTCTTAAATTCTTTATGTGCATTTTTATCAAAAATTTTCACAGATGTTAAACTAAGCCTTTTTCCCTGCTACTGAACATAAAAATTAAAAATCTAACAAAAATAAAGAAAATTTTCAAAAATTCTTGTCAAAAATGGATTGTTTGGATATTAAAAATCATTATTACAAATTATCAGGTTTTCCTAAAAATAGGCCGCAACGACTTTCCGTGAAATATAATAGACTGACCCTTCCATTACTCTATTATTAAATTAAATTACTATTTTTGATCAAGTTTTCAATATGGACTTTAACAAAATATTAAAATTATTATAAACTCAGTTATAAAAACTTTAAATGCAAGATATTTAGTTTAACAAAATTAACTTATTTTTATACAAGATGTTTATTTTAAAAAAAAATTCTAATTTTTACATCCTTTATATCGTTTTATGAAAAATAAATTTTTGCGATTTAAAAAAAGATGAAATTATTATTGTTAAAATGTAAATATAAAAAATTATTGTACATTTAGTATTGTTTTTTTTATATTTTTATAACTTTTTTATTTACGTTAAATTTAAATATTTGTAATATTAAATGGCATAAATACAATTGAATAATTAAATACTGTAATATAATATAAATAAAAAATTGTAAATGAATAATATCTAACTAGAAAGAACATTTTTGTAGGATCATTATTTGACTCCAAATTTTCCTCAAAATGATGCTTCCCAGTTTCCATCATGAAAATACAATTACAATTTAATAATACATGTCTAATATCAACTTTTTACAATTACATACAAGGTTAGATCGTTTTTTTCAGAGATACGTAACAATAAACTTCTCGTTATTCGTGTTTTATCGACCAATAAACTTTCTTTTTCCACACCCAACACTAGGTACAGCACATTAATTGTACCCACATAACTAATATTTATTTATGTCTTATTGTTTTAACTTAGAGTAGAAGTGGGGAGAAAAAGCCATTGGGAAAAGAAGCAATTTGGGTTTTATACAAAATCTATTAAACCGGTTAATCAGCTATTCAGAATATGAAATCTATTAGGTAATACGCAACTTTTAATCCATTGGCCGCTGTATCTTAGGTATTTTAGTTTTTATTGTAAAATTTAGTTCATCTAGTTGGCAATAAGTAAGATCCCAATCACTGTTTCTAGATCAAATTATTCTAACTAGAATTTAATAGGGGTCTCGTGAGTTTTTCTAATCTAAATTATCTCAATAGAATTTGATAGGGTCCCTATTAGTTTTTCTAGACTAGAAAGTCAAGACTGAAAAATAAAATATGTTAAAATAATAGTACTTTAAGCAACAAGGAATAGAAGGCAGCCATTAATGTACTTTGATTTTCGCGCACGAGTGAAACGAGTGCTACGAAAATTAAAGTACATTAATAGGCTGCCTTCTATTTCATGTTACTTACAATATTTTTTATTCCGAAACACAAAACTGGCGATTTCAGATAGCAGACGACAGCACGTGACAGGGAAAAAAAGTATCAAGATGGCGTTCATTTTTGTCCTAGGACAATGGTAATGGTGGTAACCATGGCAACCATGGTAACCTGCGTCATTTTTTTCTTTGGAAAAAAATGGGCGCCATCTCGAGACGGTAGAAAGAAATGATTGTGTTTACGTCCTTTCGGCTGCTATCTGAAAGCGCCATTTTTGTGCCTGAGGAATAAAAATACTTTTTATGTCAAATGTTTGAATTTAACCTACCTTTTAACAATAACGAGTTATGAATAATTATATTCACACTTATTCATTGTTATATATTTTATTAATTCATTAAAGCTCATGCTTAAACTATTGTAAATATCAGCGAAGTCGATATTCCAAATAGGGCCACAGGACAAATTATTACTCTTAACGTTAAAAATTGTTTAAAAACAATTTGTTTAAACAAATTTTAAAAATTTATGAATTTTTGAAAATTATCGTCACCATTTTATTCTACGTGAAAGATTAATGAGGAAGAAAGTATGACTTATCCAAAAACTTTCACTCTATTTATAGCAAATGGTTCATAATCGAAAAATGCACTCCGATGCACCTATATAAGTCTATGCTGAAACAAATAGAAATATTTTTAAAAACAAGATCATACAAATAATTACTTTAAACGTTAATAACTGTTTTAAATAATTTTTAAATAATTTTTAATAGAATTTGCTCAAACAAATTGTTATAAACAAATAACAAAATTATACAATTATTAAAAATTAACTTTCTGTTTCCAATATTGACTTTGTCGATTTTTCCATTAGTTTATGAAATGGGTTATTTCATTCATATTATTATGATATCATTTTAAATTATATTTAAAATAAAGAGTTATTCAAGAGTTTGTTAAGCTCAACTATGAGAACAGCTAACTTCAATAACGAAAATATAAAACCAAAAATAAGACGAAAGAAATCCTCCAGAGTAAGCAGAAGGAAATAGTAAATGTGCATAATTTCTCTATTCTCTAAATTAAAATTTGTAACTTTTAACTAATGAAATAGTACTGATTCGTTCATTAAATGAATTCGTAAGCGTTTTGAATAGTTGTTAGTCAAAAAGTTCTAATTGTCAGTAAAAAATTGTT